AAAAAAAAAAAAAAAAAAAAAAAAAAAAAAAAATTTGTAGAGAGTTTTAAAATAAAAGAAAATGCCTCTGCCATGATGTTAAGCACAAAAAGCAGGTCCCAAAATTGTATATACAGGATGATATCAACTGTGCTCAGGTAGAAGTCTGGAAAGAAATATGCCAAAATGTTGACAGTAGCTGTCTCTCGGTGATAGGAATTGGGGACTTTTTTTCCCTCCTGTTGTCTTATATTTTCCTGAACTTGCCAGTTTTTCTATACTTGAACATGCATTACTTTATTGATAACAGCCGAAATCATAAACCCAAATCAAGGCTCTAGCCTTTTACATACATAGACTATTGATGAGACAGAAAAAATCTCAGTCATTAATTTGCAGAGCAGTGCTTAAGAAATGGGCTTTTTGGTTAGAGCACAACCTTATAACACTGAGATCATGGGTTCAGAGTCCAGTACCAGCCCGCTGCCAAAAAAGGTGGGGGGATGTGTTGTGTATGTATGTATGTATGTATGTTTGTTTGTTTGTTTGTTTTTGGCAGCTGACCAGTACAGAAATTGAACCCTGGACCTTCATCTTATCAGCAACATACTCTAACCACCTTAGCTAATTGGCCAGCCCAAGAAGTGGTTTTAATAGTGTATTTTTAAACATTTAGAAGTTACAGCATAACCTAAAACTACTCCTAAAAATGTTGCTTTTTTTAAAAGTTACAAAATGATATAAATATAAGACAGAGCTGGAAGTTTTAAATGCTGATTTTTATATTTTAGTAATATGTTCTATATTTTGTGCTTTCAGAATTAATGTGTGGTCATTAGCCATTTTTATAAATAGGAAATAAAAAGTGTAATGTCAACATCTTTCAGCCCTAATAAAAACATTGCTTTGTTTTCTTTTCAGTTTCCTCCAGCTTATGCAGGCATATCTGAGGTGAATCAACCTGCTGAATTGATGCCCCAGTTTTCTACAATTGAATATGTGATACAGGTAACTTCTTTGTGGTGCATTTAATAAACAGTGTTAAATATATTTAGTTTCTCTTGAAAACCTTTGGCTTCTGTGTCTCTTACCTGTCCAAAGGGTTTAAAGCTATGAGGGCAGCAGGATCCTTCACATGAGGTTTTGGTGTGTGTGTAGTTACTGGCATTGTTTTCAGGTCTTGATATAAGGCTACAGTAAAGGTGGAGCTGATTAAATGTAAAACCTGTCCTCCACAGCCTTCTCTTAGTTGACGGTACTCCATCTTCTAGTTGTTCACCTTAAAAACCTTAGACAGGGTGCGGGGGAGGGAAGAAGACATAACAATTACAATTCCTTGAAGTCGATATGACAAGCAAACAGAAAGGACATTGTCAGGAGGGAGGGGGGAGAGGGAGGAGGGAAGGAGGTTTCAGTAATTGGCCACAATAATCTACCACATTGTAAATTGACAAAATAAAATAAAATAAACAATCTGGCACATTAAAAAAAAAAAACCAAAAAAACAAAACTTTATACTCATCCTTCACCTCTCTCTCTCACATCCCATATCTAGTCCACTAGAAAATCCCATTGGCTGTCTATTCCAAGTATATCCAGAATCCACCCACTTCTCTCTCCCCTCTGCTAACTGTCCTGGGTCAGCCACTGCCTCTCACTTGAATTACTTTGGTAGTCTCCTAACTGTTGTCCCTGCTTTTACCATTGCCCATTTATATTTTACTCTTAACCTAGAATAACTTTAAAAATATGTATCATGTTATTCTAGCCAGAATAACTTTCAAAACATGTATCATGTTATTTCTCTGCCCAGAAATGTCTAATGGTCAAAATGGTCCCTTTTCACCCAAAGGAAAAGACAGTCTTCAAAGCCCTATGTGTTTACTTCTCTGACTTCAGTTTCTATGAGTGTCCTCATTCAGCCCAGTGGGCCTCCTTAGATTCTTCTCCAAATGCCAGGAACACTCCTGCTTGAGGGCCTTTTCTCTAGCTTTTTTCTCAGGCTGGAACTTTCCTTCCCCTATCTCTGTATTGTTTCCTCCCTCTCGTCCAGGTTTTTGCTCAAATGTTACTTTTTTAGTGAGACTGTCCTGACCTCTCTCTTTAGTACTTGAACCTGCCCTCTGCCTCTCACTCCCGGCATTCACAGTTGCCCTTAATCTCTCCATTCCAGGAAGTTTGCTTCTTGAGGTAGGCAGGGATCTTTGTTCTTTCTGTTCATTGATGTATGCCAGGACCTGAATAATGTCTAGCTCATAGTAGTATTCAAAAATTTTGAGTGAATTGTTAGATACAAATAGATTTTTTTTTTTTGGTGGCTGGCCGGGACGAGATACAAATAGTTACCCATATCTTTTACCAGCTTCTGATAGACAAAGAATTACAACATCAAGAACATCAGCAGATACTCATTGTTTTTAGAATTACGTTTTTCATATAAATGGTTGGACTACCTATAATCTTTGGGATATAATGCAGTGTGTCCAAGGATACACAAAGTTCAAGATAAAATGGTGTATACTATTTGAATGTCAGTTTTATTTGGAAAATTGAGAATGCATGGTGTGGAATTAGTTTAATATTTTATTAAAAATGATATTATTGAGGAGAATGAAAATTCAAACTTTAAGACTTTGTAAAACACAGCTGTCTTCAGGTTCTACCCTTTTACTCATTAAGACACTTCATTTGCCTAGAGATTTTCTTATCATCCCAACCCTCGGCGGGAGCGCCACCGCGCTCCCAAGCGGCGCACTGTAGCAGTGCGCCACCGGGCCGGCCTGATACAAATAGTTTTTATGTTTAGTTTGTTTTACTAGAATCTGAGTCATTTAATGAGGTAAGTAGAAGTTTGTGTAGGTGTCCTTATCCCGAGAGTAAGTGTAGATGAAAACTTGCCATTTTCCTACCTGATTTGCTTTAAAAAGAGCTGTTTGTGTTTGTATACTGATCATTGTGCTGTTTTTCTTTGCCTAAGCGAGGTGCTCCATCCCCTCTGATCTTTCTCTATGTGGTCGACACTTGCCTGGAGGAAGATGACCTTCAAGCACTCAAAGAGTCCCTGCAGATGTCCCTGAGTCTCCTTCCTCCAGATGCTCTTGTGGGTCTGATCACATTTGGTAGGATGGTACAGGTTCATGAACTAAGCTGTGAAGGAATCTCCAAAAGTTACGTCTTCCGAGGGACCAAGGATTTAACAGCAAAGCAAATACAGGTTTGTTCCTTGCTTTTGCAGAAGCAGAAGTAAGGGCATATCTTAACAATTAATTAGTTGTTCACTTTTAGTGTTATAGGAAATGAGTCCTTTTTGTTTTTTTAGGATATGCTGGGCCTGACCAAGCCAGCTATGCCCATGCAGCAAGCAAGACCTGCTCAACCCCAGGAGCACCCTTTTGTTTCAAGCAGGTGAGGTGGCGACATATAGTGTTACACATTCTGTAGTGGGCAGGCAGGACGGCCCATGGGAGTTAGGGAAGAAAAAATATTAGAACTTTTGTTTTCTTATTATTAGAGAAAAAAAATGATTAAGCCTAACCAATATTTAATGTCTTAGCAAAAAGGTTTTGAGACCACTGTACTCAGTCATTCCTGCCTCTTGGACACATGGCTGTTGTCCTTTTTAGTCCTTAAGTAAAATTGGAAAAATTAAAAAGGTTTCTTTTGGGTGCCCTCAAACAAACCTATTAACAGGTACTCACTTCACTCAGCCCATCGAGTGCCTGGGGCTGCCCTGGGCCCAGTTAACAGCCATAAACTTGAAAAAATGCATTGCCTGATATGCTGGGGACAACCTCTTACCCTGGTAAGAAACCAGAGTGTTTTTCTCTGTGTTGCTTCTGAGGCTCAAGAGAAATACAAACTGAATCTTTAGAGTGATGAGGATTGTCCACGTAAATGGACCTTACCTGGACTAAATTCATATTAGTCATGTCCTTAGAATTTCTTTGCTGCTTAAAACTTTTTTTTTCTTTTTTGGCAGCTGGCTGGTACAGGAATCATAACCCTTGACCTTGGTGTTGTCAGCACCACGCTGTCCCAAGTGAGCTAACCAGCCAGCCCTTTGTTGCTTATTGATTGTTTTTCCATGCTACATATATAAATTGCTAAGTATTATGCTTTAAATTACATTCCTCAATAGTTATTTCGGATTGTTTTGTGTTTGTAGTTAAAGATAACTTTGAAGAAAAAAGTTGCAGGTTTTTCTACTCTGAATAATTATTTTGAAGAGCAGTAACTGTGTGTCACCTAGAGTTGAAGACCAGAGTACTTTATTTAACCAGGATCTGTCTATTCAAAATTGTGCAGATTTCTGCAGCCTGTTCACAAGATAGACATGAACTTCACTGACCTTCTTGGGGAGCTGCAGAGGGATCCATGGCCTGTAACTCAGGGGAAGAGACCTTTGAGATCCACTGGTGTTGCTTTGTCTATTGCTGTTGGCTTGTTAGAGGTAATTCAGAATTTACCGGGACCCTTCAAATCATGTAAACTTGCTCTCAGAAAGTGTATTGAATTTGTTTGGAAATCAGCTGTGACTAAGTCAACCAACTGTCTGTGTCATTGTATCAGAAAATGCTTCATCATTATTATTATCCATGTCAAAGGAGCCCCTTGATATTTTAAAAGTACCAAAAGTTTTCATGAAAAACATAAGGAATTAGAACAATGGGAAGTGCTCACATTAAATTAATAAAAGTACAAAACCATGAGGTTGGAAGAATATAAGTGCTGCTTTTCTGCATCATGATCTGTATTATTCTGCAGTAGCATCAGTATTAAGAATAGCTGAAGAGAATTCATCTTTGGAGTCTTTCTATGGGAAATCGAAACTATACTTGGAGGTAGGGCTGTATACCTCTAAAATGTTGCCATTTACTCTTTTAGGGCACTTTTCCAAACACGGGAGCCAGAATCATGTTGTTCACTGGAGGTCCCCCAACCCAAGGGCCTGGCATGGTGGTTGGAGATGAGTTAAAGATTCCTATTCGTTCCTGGCATGATATTGAGAAAGATAACACCCGTTTCATGAAAAAGGCAACCAAGGTAGGTATTCTTGGATACAGGCTGTAATTGTGGTAAACTGGAGTGAGAGCTGCTTTGCTGAGGCCATGCATCATGGTCAGCAAGATGCTCTTGCTGAGATGATCATCCAAATCTTGGCTGCTGTTAAATTACTGCCCCTACTTTCAGACCTTAGAGTTAGAGTGGGTGGCTTTAAAACTGCTCAGAGTGTTTTGATATTGAAAACTATTTTTATTTGATTTGGATGATTTTAAGAAAATGATTTCTGTATTCTTATGTTTGATTACATCCTTTGGTACATTAAGGCATACCTTGGGAATAATGTTACTTTTTCCTGAAGGTAGTTTTCCTCTCTTCACAGCACTATGAGATGCTTGCTAATCGAGCTGCTGCAAATGGTCACTGCATTGATATTTATGCTTGTGCTCTTGATCAAACTGGACTTTTGGAGATGAAGTGTTGTACAAATCTTACTGGGTATGTTGACAGTGAACACTTGGGAAAAGTGAGCATGTTATGTTAAGGAAAGGGAAATGAGTGGCAGAGCCATAGGGATGAGCAAGGACAATTTAGAGAAATTTTCAGGTAGCTCTGGGCTGTGGTTTCAGTGGCTAGGGAGGGGTGTGGGCCCCTTGGAGCAAGAAGCAGTGATTAGCAGGAGGTCCCAAGGGTTCACTATGAAGAAGTCATATTAATAACTTCATTTCTTCCTTAGAGTTGTTAGACTTGTTACGGAGACCAGGTCAGGAAAGCAAGCAAGCATGGAGTATCTGGCCTTTAGCAGGGCACTTCCTTGTGAGAAGGGAGGAAAATAGGGTCTGAATGCTGGAGCAATTAGGGGAAATTTGACCTGGCTATGTGACTACACTTTGTGAATACCTAGTGCACGCTCAGCCTAGAGGGTGTGCTACAAGATACACTGACTTAGAGCCCAAGTTAGTATTGTATTCACAGGTCGGAGTGCAGAGCAGTGGTTCTCAGTGTGCAGTAGTGCCTGGGCCAGCAACCTTGGAGGCTCGTGGGAACTGGTTAGGCATGTACATTCTTGGGCCTCACCCTAGATCTCCTGAATCAGAAACTGGGGAAGCAGCTTTCCAGGAGATTCTGGTGCACATAAAAGTATAAGAACCACTGATGTGGAACACTTGTCTGAAGCCATGTTGGAATCACCAGGGGAGCTTTAAAAACTACTCTTGCTTTGGGTCTCGTCCCCAGAGATTGTGATTTAATTACCATGGGGTATGGTCTGGGCATTAGCATTTTTTTTTTTTTTTTGTCTTTTTTCCGTGTCCGGCAACGGATCGCAACCCTCAGTGTTGTCCCCGTACCGGACCGGGGACCGGCAACGGGATTGCAACCCTCGGTGTTGCTCCCGCGCCTCGCTCAGCCAGTGAGCGGGAACCGGTCTGTATGTGGGATCCGAACCCTCGGGCGGG